CAAAAGCTTTTAAAAAGGTGGTTCCTTTGATTTCTTTGTTTTGTCATGCTAATTTTAGATTAGTTTGATATATTTTTATTCTAATATTATAAACATGGATATAGTTTTTCTGTCTAATTTGGTGATGAATTAAAAAAAACCAAATAGGGGAATCATAAAAGATTGGAAGTAACAGTTTAAAAAGGTGATTCCAATATCATGCTTATTTTCGTTAATTTTCTATATTTATTTATTCTTTTTGTAAACATTGGTCTTTGGTACTAGATGGTTTGTGTTATACGAATTCGATTCTTCAACAAGGTTATATAACTATTAGTTTATAGTTTTGTTCATCAATCTGTACCGTTTTTTGTCTTTGTTACTGGATCTCCCAATATGTTCTTCTTCTCTTTAAATGGACTTATTTTAATGTGGATTCCATTTTCGATTGAATCATATTAACTATAACAATTTGTTTCACACAATCTCCTCTTCTAATGGTATCATAAGCAAGATCTGTGCGTCTGCTTTTGTTGGTAATTGCAGTTCTAAACTTATGATCTTGGAAATCAATTTTGATTTTTTCAATTTTCGTTTAGAGGGTTTGGTGTTGTGTTTTTAGAGTTTTAGACCAACTCTCATAGATTGAATGATATCAATTTTCTCATTTAGAACATTTTCATATTGAATTTAGGTTTTTGGAATATTAAAAATTTTGATGGGTATCGTGTATTTTCAGTGGAGTAGAGAAGAAGATGTTGATTTATTGACTGGGCAGAGACGCTGAGACGGTGCACTCGATGGTGGAGTTGAGCTCCGACAACACGACGGCGTGGGCGGTGGTGAATGGTGATGGAAGAGCAATCGGTTTCATCACCACATGATTTGCCTTGAGAGCCACGAAAGTACATATGAGAGAGTCGACATGAAGAGGACAGTGGAGAGCCATCGAGGGGAACAACTATGTAAGTAGGGCCGTGTCCTCCAACGTAGCAGCAAGGGCTCATGGCGCAGCAACAACAGCTACAATTCAAACCAGAGGCAGGAGAGATCTGGTTTTAAGGGAAAAAGAAAAAAGAACACCAGTTCGAAGGTGGTGCTTTGGAGCTTCACCGCCGGAGGCTGTATCACCGGTTGAGCTCACCAGAGGGACCAGTGTGACCATGCATTAAAATTAAATGCTAGATATGTTGGGGACGTAGCCTGTAGGCTTTGCTTCCTAGATAAGAAACTGTAGAAAATATGCAAAGTTAGATTATTCAATGTGCGATTCGAATGATTTATGTTGTTGATATGGTGGAGTCGAGTGGATCAGATTGTGGCGAATATGATGGGTTTTCCACC